ATGTTGCTGAACTACAACTCCCATGATTCCCTGGCTATCTGTTTCATTGAAAGAATCATGGGAGTTGTAGTTCAGCAACATCTGGGGGGCCGCATGTTTGACAACCCTGCTCTAGAGTCTACAGTTCTAGCTGATTGTGACCAGTGAATCTGAATGCATATCACATATTTCAGATCTATCTTTTGTTAAAAAGCAATTGTTATTGTATCAGAAAATAAACTCACTTTCTTGCATCTGTTTGCCATGCAATGGTATGCCACGGTCTTAAATTTATCCTGCATTTTATTCCTTCAAAATATTATATATTTTTAATTAAAATTTCAAAACAGATCTTTATAACACACTAGAATGTTTCAACAGTCATCCAAGGGTAAAATAGAAAGAAAAGTAATGTTAAAGTAGACAAAGTTGAAGAATAAATTATATTTTAATCTTAAATCATATCAGGAAGCTGAAATGAAAGACAAGTGGTTACAATTATGGACAATCAAACATGCAGCTGTTGTCATATAATTAGAATGTGTAAGCAGTTGCAGCTGTCCAAGTTTTACTTTTATAGTATCTAATATTTAAAACATTAAAATTGAGCTTCAGAGATTAAAATGAATACTAAATAGAGGAAATAGACAAGTACATGCTAAACAGCACGTAAAATAAACTAAAAAAAAAAAAAAATTATTTAACTATGTGTCACTCTGCCTAATCTAAAGAAATAAAGTGTGCCAAGAAAACTCTCTCTCTCTCCCTCTATCTAAATTAACTTTAAATGTGTCCCTCAACCAGCATTTTAGAACTACGTCAATTGCAGCAATCTCACCTCAACTAAATAACTGAGAGACTATGGCCAATTTATTATCCACAAACAAAAGGTCACTATGTGGATACCAGAAGCCTCATGAAGAAACATATAAAAAAAGACTGGTTTAGCTGAGATTCTAATACACATTAAAGTGATTTCCTGTCTCAAATATAACATCTGTGCCCATTGTTCATAGAATTTGGGGCATGCCTAACATATATGGAATATGGTCTTAGTTGGTATCAATCTCATAGTCCAGAGACTGAAGTGTTAGGATGGGCAGTCTGTACTGGCATTAGTGATTTTACATGAGACAAACCCAAATGACTTCAGGACAGTGTGTCGCTATACTGATGACAAGTTCTTGACATACCTACAAATTAATTTTGCAAATATGCTTTTCATAAATAGGTATTCTCCCTGCTGCAATGTGTCTCTTTGTCCCCTAACCTCTGTATGCCTTTTTATCCCCCTAGCCTCTCTGTGACTCTTTTGTCTCTCCTAGTCGCTCTGTGTGTCTTTGTCCCCCCAATTCCTCTGGGTGTTTTTTTATGTCCCCAGCCCTTCTGTGTACCTCATTGTCCCCTTCCCCAGACCCTCTGTATGTCCCTTTGTTCCCTTCCACAGACCCTATGTGTGTCTAGCCTCCAATGCCCCTTTTGTGTTGTGTATTTTCTCTTCTCCCTCAAACTATTTTGTGTGTCTCTTTCTGCCTCCCAGCCTTTCTGTATACCTTGTTCTCATTTGAGCCCCTTTGTGTGTCTATTTGCCCCCTAGTCATCTGTGCTTCTCTTTATCCATATTTAAACCTCTGCATGCTCCCCAGCCACTCAGTGCACCTCTTTGCCTCCCCAACTTCTCTGTGCATCTCTTTGTATCCCCTAGCCCCTTTAGGTTTTTCTTTGTGTCCCCTCTAAGCCTTCTGTGTGCCTGTTTGTCTGTCTGCCACCCTTTTTTGGTCTCACCCTCCTGTCCACTCCTGTGCCATCTGACCTCTCTTAATTTTCCTATGCTCGGTCTGACAGGAAGCTGTTTGTTACTCCCTGCTGGCAGCTTAATGTCCGTGGTCAGCTCAGCCATGGTACATGTAGTGATTGGCAGGAGGGGAGAGCTGTGGGCTCTCCTCCTGCCAGTAACCTAGACATTGTGACCCCCTCACCATAGGAAGGTGCCTTATCACCTAGTAGTTGCGCCGTCCCTGTTCCCACATATTTGTCTCAGTTCCTTACTAATTTATTTTTTTCCTATGGATAAATGATCATTTCTTCATCCCCTACCTTTTTTGCCTCCAAATTTCCCAACTAAACAGGTCACGGTCAGCGGAGGCTGGTGAAGTTTAAAGATAGTGGGGTGCTGCTCCTTCAACTTGTTCGGTTTACCCACTTAACCCCATGAGATTTCATGCCCTGTTCAAACCAGCTGCATTGCCATTCATCAATAAAGGGGAGAGTGGAACATGTATATAATCAGAAATATGTTTTCTCAGAAGGGGTTTATTTGGTCCAACTAGCATAGCGTCCTATGGTTGCGGTCTACTTCTTATGCTTGTAAGGACTTTACTCTAGTGGATATGTATAATTATGATTATTAATATTTATTGAGTATTCATGTTCATATAAATATTAATATAAATGTGCAAGAAATAAATTGGTGTGAAAAAAACAAGGGTTGGAATACTTGAGGATTATGTGTATTATATTTTAAGGGCATGTTTCCTGAAAATTTGTTTTGCCAGTTTACTTTAAGCATAGGCACTGTTGCATGTGAGTTTACCCCCACCTCCAGCATATACATATCTTTACCTAGATTTCCAAGAGGGTCAAGGAACAAATATGCTCAACAGTTTATTGGGGATCCCAAACCCTGGTCTTTGTTTTATAATGATAGTGTATAATCTCCCAACTATAACAAGTTTATTAGATTCTACACAATTCCTTTTTAGATGTTATTAAGAAGAACTCAGTTAATCAGTTTTTTAAAGAAAAAAAAAACTGTGGAAACAAATAGATTTAACCTCATTTGAAAAAATGTGTGTTACTTATAAGATTATTAAAGGTTCTCTCTCTAGAATATATCACATGATACAAATAGTGGCAAATAGAGAGGGAATGTTAAAATTCCAGAAGAAATAGATGATCAATTAACATAAACAAATATCTGATGGAGATTTGTCAATTATTTCTAGAAGGGCAATGAAAGCCTCTATAAGCTTAATAAGTGCATAGCATGATGGTATAGAACCCCTGTTAATATACATGCCTTCCATCCTCCCCACTAGTGATCAGTGTTGGAGATGTAGGGAGGAATGATATTGAACACATATAGTGTTTCTGTAAAAATATACAAATTTATTTAGATGGAGTCATAGAAGTGATTAGAGGGGTACTTCTTAATAATTTTAATTAAATTTACACCCTCACAGTTACTTATGGGTTGGCCACACACTTTTTTGGATTCCAACAAACAAAAGCTATTAATGGGGGATGAAAATGTGCTCATTCCAGTGTACTGGAAACAAACTCAGATCCTACAACAGAACAGTGGATATCTAGAGTTGAAAACACATTGAAAACATGAAATGGAAGATATCCACTGGGCTGAGAGGGGTAGTAAACAAAACTATCTCAATACATGGCTCCTTTGGCTCAGATATTGGGCTACTGATATAGGATCGACAAAACCTCCTGAAAAACATTGAAAAATATTCAGTCATGTATAAGATTCCAATTGATTTTAAAGAATAACCCATTAAGGACCGATGACGGTTCAGGACCATCATTGGTAACATCCCATTGAGCACCAGTGACGTTCCTGAACCGTCATCACAGAAAACGAGCAGTGGGAGCTATCTGAGGTCGCCTCAGCCGAAATCCCACTGTTACTATCTGCCAGGCATGCGAGGAGGATAGTAACAGCCAATTACGCTGTGTGAGCGACAGACGTCCGCTCGCAATTGGCTGCTGTCAGTGGGTGTTACAAACACTCACTTTGATAGTGATCTCTGCCCCTATCTCCTCTGTAGCGTTTTGTGAAGGAGAGAGACAGAGATTGTAATATATTGTTGCCAGAAAGAGTAAAAATGTATAAAATTCCCTTCTAACCCCTTCCCCTGTCAAATCCTGTTATAGCAATGCATTTATACGGTCTGTATTTTTATTTTATTTTTGCCCTTAAGGTTTAAGTTTTATTAGAAAGCTGTGTTTTAGACTGTTTCAGTCTGTTTTTTTTTTTTATAAGCAGGAAATTTTAGGTAGTCAGTTCCCTTCCCACAAATCTCCATTACCCTAGGCCTGTTTTAGTAATTTGTTAGTTTAGTGTCAGTTAGGTAGTGTGCTGCTGAAAAATGCAGCACATGTATAGTTTTGAGGAGGCATATACTTTTTTGGCATCAGACACTGACACTGCATCCGATTTTGACCCAGGTCAGTTTTCTGACACGTCTTGTGACATGTCATCTGTCTCTGAGCCAGCTGCAAAAAGCTGTGCTTACTCTGCTACGCTGAATGTGGAGGAGGAGTGGGTACCTCCACAGTTAGCTGAGCCCAACATCCCCACTTTTAGTGCCAATGCAGGCATTAATGTCAGTGTGCTTGATTTCTCCCCTATGCAATATATGGAGTTATTTTTACAGGATACCATCTCGGAGGAGATTGCTTCCCAGACTAATCTCTATGCTACCCAATTTATCAATACCAAATCAGGCTAGCAATGCAGTCAGGGAACATGCCTGGCATCCTACAGATGCCACAAACATATATTCCTGACCCTATAGTGTTAAAACCCCATCTTGCCCCCCCCCCCCCTTCCCCGGGCCCCTCATGCCTGCATAATAATTTCATAATCTTACTGTATTCAAGCCTGAAGCTGTAGATCTGCATGCTCTTTGCCTCAGAAAAACGAGCTGTCTGCTGCCATCATCGGAAGTGGTGGCCTGATCCAATCACAATGATTCCCCATAGGATTGTCTGAGACTGACAAGGAGGCAGATCAGGGTCAAAGCCAGCATGATTCAAACACAGCCCTGGCCAATCAGCATCTTATCATAGAGATGAATTGAATCAATGTATCTCTATGAGGAAAGTTCAGTGTCTGCATGCAGAGGGAGGAGATACTGATGAGTGATGTCCCGAACGGTTCGCCGAACGGTTCGCCGCGGACGGCACACATATGGGGTACACTTTGACCCTGTACCTCACAGTCAGCAGACACTTTCCAGCCAATCAGCAGCAGACCCTCCCTCCCAGACCCTCCCACCTCCTGGACAGCTCACTAAGAATGCAGCTTCACAATGAATGTAAAATGGATGCTGTCCAGGAGGTGGGAGGGTCAGGGAGGGAGGGTCTGCTGATGATTGGCTGGCATGTCTCTGCTGACTGTGAGGTACAGGGTCAAAGTTTACCGCATATGTAGCGGAGAGGTAGTATAATCCACGATATCTCCGCTGGGTAACAGGAACAACAAAGGATAATCCAGGGAATCAGCATACAATAATCCAAACAGCACTGCAGTAACCCTTCCTTCCCAAGAACTAGACGACACATAGGCTGGGAGTCAACTGAGGTCTTTTAATTCAGCTCCACAATTTATACAAGTCCCCATGCAAGGGGTTTCCTGAGTCCCCTCCCAGGGGCATTCCCAGAGGGGACTACATGGGGGACTTATTGTACAGGACATTTCTCCCATCAGGCACTGCTGCACGAGAGGGATCCTCCCACAGGAATGTACCGTTAAGTGGATTATCCCTTCGTGCAGCAGAACTTACAATTCGCATTAAATTCCATAACTTTATGAATATCTGGTCCATTTAAATGAATGGACATTCGGTAGATAGCTGGGGTCTGAGCGCATCATTCGTGAGATTACCGCTCAGATCCCAGCTAAAACAACCGAACGCCGCACGAAAAACACATTCATTAAAACATAGCCTCAAAACACCGATTGTATATAAGGGAACAGAATACCGAACGTCCCGGACCTCCCGAACGACCTGGAAGCTCAGTGGTGTTCGTGCCGTCAAGTAGCCGTTTTTAGTACCAGGCGCTCGACGACCAAACACCGCTGAGGGAACAAAGGATCCAAGATGGCCGACCGCCGCATGGTCGGTAGTCAAACAACGGCCACCTTGGAGAGCCTCTAATTACCGATTGCAACATTGTTGCAATCGGTTAATAGGCGCCACACGCCTCTAAGTGTGTGGGCTATTAACTGATGGTTTGTTCGGTTCCCGAACGGCCCGCAAAGGTGCCGTTCGTGAAACGAAAGGGAATCAGCTATCTGCTTTCGGCAGATAGCCCAGGCAGGAAATACAGCATTACCATTACATTACACACTGGAACACATAACATGAAAACCATGCCGGCAACCCTTAAAGGGACAGTACATAAATAATGTCCAAGTGGCTAGGTTTGCCACAGCATATGTTCGCCGTCCACGGCGAACCGTTCGGCGAACCGTTCGGGACATCACTAATACTGAGTGTTTGGATGCATTTTAGGCAGCCATGGCCCAGGAAGGATCTCTAACAGCCATCTGAGGAGTGGCCAGTTAAGTTATCACTAGGCTGTAATGTATACACTGCATTTTCTATGAAAGGTAATGATTTTACTCACCAGAACAAATGCAATAAGCTGTAGTTGTTCTGGTGACTATAGTGTCCCTTTAATGAAATATAAAGGGAGATCAGGATTCAAACAATACATCCCCTCAAAGTGCTACAGATATGGCGTAAAATTCTACAAACTTTGCGATAGCGAAAGTGGCTATACGTTTGCCTTTCGCGTATATGAGGGAAAAGATGGTCAACTGGACCCTCCTGGCTGTCCTGACTCTCTGGGGACAAGTGGGAAAATTGTTTGGGACCTACTGATCCCCTTGTTCAATAAAAATTGCCACCTTTACGTGGACAATTTTTATAGCAGTGTTTGTTTGTTTCAAACTCTTTATGGTTTGCAGAAACTGGCCTGAGCCACTGTGAGAAAAAAGGTCAAATATTTGAAGGCAAATCTCTGAGCAAAGCTGAAGGGCTTGCAATAAAATTTAAGGACAGGAAGGATGTTAACATGCTAACCACCATCCACGACGAAAGCATGTCAGACATCTCTGTCAGAGGCAGAGTACAGACCAAACATGTTTGCATCAGGGCTTATAAACAGGCACATGGGGGGGAGGGGGTGTTGATTTGGCTGATCAGCTGATGCAGACATATCTAATCTTAAGAAAGACGGCTATCTGATGCAAGTAGCAACACACAATTAATGTCTACTCTTTAAAAAAAATGAATCCAGGAAAAAACACCTTTCTCCAATTTCAGCTCAAACTGATTTCTGCAATCATTTATGAAGATGGTCAAGTTCCAACAACAGTTCCAGAGGAGTCCAGAGTTGGTGCTACACATTTTATTTTTATGTTGAAAAAAGTAGGAGAAGACCGCGCCCCAAACAATATATAGGAAATATATATACATACAAAATTCTTTTGATACACACAGTTGACATCAAAGATAAAAGCAAAGAATAATACAATAGTGCAGTACAGTATAGTTGGTGAAAGGTGATTAGATAATCTTATCTGATAGTGATGTGTGTAATTGGTGGCTTCCTGGAACCATTCTGGAACGCACATGTCATACCGGAAGTGACACCGCATTTTCCAGTATGGTATTCTATGTGTTCCAGCTTGGAACGCATACGGAGCCAAAATGGCATTGCTGCGTTCTGATCGGGTTACACCATCGTGGTGTGAATAAGTCTCATAGGAATGAGGTCTGTAAGAATGTCTTTCCTACATTCAATAAAGGTTTGCATTCTAATTGAATGCTTTTATTTGGTTTCGATCAGGGCATGACATCAAATGGAAGTGACATCACTTATCCATCTGTTATGTTTTATTTTTGGGAGGTGATGGAATCCTGAAGCAGAAGTGACCTGCCTCCATTCTTCTGCTAGGCTCCACTTATGGTCTCCCTCTGTGGCACTCAAGTAACCCAGAAATTAGCTGGAATTGAAATGAGAGAAATGCGCATTTCAGCTCAGCATTTGCCTTTTTTTTAAATGATAAAGGCATTGTGGACTGCCGTCTGCATTATATATATGCCCACTTTTTTATACCATGCCCTGGTCTTATGTATGATTAAATACGGCTGCATCAGTTGATCGGACAGGTCAACTCCTCCCATATGCCGATTGTATTGCTGTATGCAGACTGGCATCCGTTTAAATTTCTCTCTGCCATGTACTGCAACCCTGTGAGTGCTTTCACCATGGATGGTAGTTAGGATGAAAACCTTCTTTTTATCTTGGTACTTGAGTGCCAGCAGTTCATTTTGGAAGAGAGATGCTGTTTTCCCCCTTTTTATTTTTTTTTCCACTATAGCCTTTGGGAAACCTGTGCGACTCTTCCTCATAGTGCCATAGGCCATGGTCTCAAAGCAGTACAGCATTTTTAAAAGAGGGATGCTGTTATAAAAGTTATCAATATATAAATCATAACCGTTGTTGAGTAAGGGCGTTATTAAGTCCCAGACAATTTTCAAACTTGTCTCTACTATATCTGGGCAACCTGGGGGATCAAGGTGGCTATCCCTTCCTTCTTATACACGGAAGCTGTACACATAGCTGTGGCGAAACTAACCTCGCTACTGGGTCCTGGAGAAGCCTGTGTTACAAAACGCCTTGTGTCACTATTTTCTCTTATGACAAATTGCCATGGTTCCCTGGCTTATGGAGAAGCCTAATTGCCAGCCTCCTTCCTCATGACTATGGCCCTTTAAGAACCATCTGGGGACATATTCAGACTTTTTGGGACAATGCCCCTGTAAGACGGTGTCCCCAGTGTCCCCAGATTTGTTTGGGACAATGCCCCTTTAAGACAGTGTCTCCAGTGTCCCCAGACTGTTAAAATCCTGTGTGCATGGCTTTTTCCCACTTGGTTCAGTAAATGGAGCTTACTGAACCAACTATTACACAGGCAGACCAACCAGAAGTGGAAGCGTGTTGCTAATTTACCTCCTAGGCTGGGAGGCTGCTGTAGGTAAATTGGCGACCGCTGGGTGGCCGCCGTTCGTACAAACGAACACATGGCGGTGACCATCTTTATTCATTCAAAAGCGGTCAGCATTGTGTGCAGCCAAATTCGTGGAATTTAAATCAGCTACACATTTCAATACACACCGCCGACCCTTACCTTCTCCTCCACTGAATTTTCAGCCTCAGAGATTAAGTCCCGTCCAGCGATTCGAACGCATGTTCGAATGGGACTTTGTCATTTTTTCAGTGTAAAATAGACCGACCGCACAGCCCAAATCTAGAACTGTTTTAGGCAAGAAAATGTGCTTGCGGTCAGTCACAAAGGACTTCCAACTAACTTTTTAACTACTGGAGGGATTTGTATGATTTTTGAGAGTGTTTAAATTTGAAGTATGCTGAGTGAGAATATGTGCTTTTTATGAATATTGGATGTATAGTTTTAAAGTTATAGTAAATATGTAAAAAGTATATTTTTCCTGCCTGTGATAATTCCATTAACCCATTGTGTTCAGTAATTATATCACAGGTAGAGGGGAGGATTTTGTGGGAATGATTGGTAGTGTTTTACTGTATATTACGTGTTTGATTGGCTGTTCCACAAAACCCTGTGGGTGGTACTATTGTGTATAAATGTGTATATAAGAACAATAAAATGACAGCTCTGTCTGCTCTTGCTTGACCCTCAATATAGAGCCTCGTCTCGTACTTAGGGGGGATTTATTCGTATGCTTATCCTGTTCGGCTGTTTGGAGTGTAAATCATTCATATGGTTTTTCCAGTTCGACGGATTGGTGGATTCGGTAGCTGCCTTCATCTTTGGAAAGGGAACATCTCCTAAACGACTTTAACCCTTTTTATACCTGGGGTGCCATTACAATAGCCACTGCCACTTTCACATAATTTATAAAATTTGATCCCATATCGGGATCTTTTGGATGGGATGTACTGTCTAAATCCCAGTCTTCCCTTATACTTCATGAGGGACCCATCAATTGAAATGTGTTTTTTGGGGGTGTAAATAGTGGCAATTATTTTGTTAAAGTGGGAAATTAGAGGTCGTTTTTTATAAAGAATATCATACTGCGGGTGACCTTTTGGGGGACACTTCATATGTCACTAAAGTACATAAATTGTAGTATTATGTACTTCTGCTACAGTATCATATCTGTCCCTATGCATTGTCTGGGGAAAAATGGGGGTATTACAAATAGGATTTTTAGCCCAATACATCCTAATTATAGGCTTTTTAACTATCCCCATTAACATTTTCAGTGCCCAGAATTGTTTCATTTCAGGCACACTGGTTGGGTTCCATCTCTCTTTCCTGGCGATTAGAGAGTCTTGA